CTTCAGTTCAATGCAATGATATTTATAATACTAGGTCATAAGGCATTGTGTTCAATAAATATGCTCCTGCGTTTCTTCACACCACGAACCCTTATCATTGCTTTCTAGCGTCCAAGTTGCTTTGTGCTTTAGCAGTTTTTTGCATGCTAAGGTCAATCACTCTAGGTTTCAATAATTAATTAAAAATTTACTAGCAATCTCTAACTACTTAAAATCTACAGCAATAACCTAGATGCATGTGTATATGTTATATACTTACAATCTAAATAGTGCAATAGGGATAGCAAATGTCAACTAATCTGATGAGCACAGAAACATAATCTTAATATTCATGAATAAAATTCAATAATATGAAATACATCTCAAAAATGGAATTAAGCTTTAAAAGCTGAGAAAATTTAGTTTTAAGCACTCTCTTTCCCAAGAACATTTACAATCTATGCTATGCCTGAATCTCTTTACAAACCAAGTTTACAAAAGTATTTTAAAATAGGGTATCGAAAATCCAAGATGTTTTTAAAATTTGGAAATCATTTTTATTCAAACATGACATTAAAATTATTTTTAAATAATGTCATCTCTGTTTTTCAGCTTTTCTAAATAAAGTTGTTTACAGTATTTCAAAAGGTATTCAGTGTGCGCAACAGTTTTATGAGACAATATTTTCTCCAACATCTCCATCTGCTGGTTTAGAGGAAAATAGATGTTTTATTAACCATGTCTTTTAATTCAATATTTTTCTTGTTTATTTTGTATTATGAACTTGAAATACCATGCTATTAAATTATTTAAAATAATAAGGTACTATTTCTCAAAATCATTCTTCAAAAGAAATAAAAATAAAAGACTTTGAAGAATAATTAAATTTTTAACATTTAAATCCCCAAACCTTGTGAAATCACTGCGTATAACCCTATCAGACAATTTTGTTTTAAACATATTTTAATATCAAAATTAGTGTTAAGTATTATTAGTACATTTTAAATAAGAAAAAACACTCTGTTTTCCCTAAAATTTGCTTTTTTCTTACAATGCAAATATGCAGTATATGCACATGTGCCAATTTATAATTTATTTTAGCAACAATAGGGACTTTGTAAGTTACTTTATAAATGACTTGATTATTAAAATAAACAAACAAACAAAAACTAGAAGAGCATCACATCGCACATGGAAGTGCTTAGACACAACTCTAGACACTGTGCGTTGAAGGTGTCAGTGCTACCAGGCATGGGAGGTATTTGAAAGAACAGACGGGAAGGGTTATAAAAAAAATTAATACCAGTCATTTATTCTCTGACACTAAGACGGTACTGTAGAAATACTTATTGAGTGAATGTATGAATTAGTAAATTTCTTCAAATGCTGAACATATCAGATTTTAGTTTCAATTTGTTTCTAGGTTTATGCTTTGTAGTTTCTCATGATGAAGCCTTATTCCTTTTAATAACCTTCCTGACAGAAAGAAAGAAAAAATGTGTGTATTTTAGATCTCCCTCTGAAGAGGAACGGAGAGGAGGAAGGAAAAGAGGGACTGAACGGGAGGGGAAGGAGAGAGAGAAAGGAATTAGAATTCCCAGGTACCCATGGAAACAAGTGGGAACAAATAGGTCCTTCCTTTATCCCATTGTGAATGTGAAAGAGAAGGATGTGGGAGTTCTGAGTGATGCTTACAGTTCAGAATATAATGGCTGCATTTTGTTTGCATAATCTTAAACTATTCACTGGTCTCAGTGGATCCTTAAAGCAAAATCAAACTTGGCAATTCCGAATAATTCTTCCATCTGATAAATGCGATTAAATTAGTAAATTTCTCTTTTGAAAAAAAATTGAGCTGTAAAACTCCATGTTCTTGATACACAAACTTAGCCCAATAGGATTTTTATAGATTCACTAGGTGGAAGAACAAGCTACACTATATGTGTAAGTTGGTGATACGTATCATTTTAATAATGGAATTAAAGAGCAAAATCACCTCAATTTATAGGAAATGTGGGAGACAACTGTTTTGGCCTTATCTAACAAAATATTTTATCCTTCTGCTTCCACTTCCTATAGGAAAGCATTACAGACTGTTAGATGAAAAGGTAAACATAAATAAATAGATTAAAATGTTGGCATAAAACCTTGAGTATAATTTAAATTTTAAATGACCAATTTTCTTATTTTTCCATTAAAGATGTCCATATACGCTTGCCTTTGTGGGTGATATTCTAGAATATCTTTCTCTCTGGAGAGAAAATAATTTTGTATGTTCTATTATTCTTAGCAATACATAACAAAATCAATAAGACTATAAATGTCCCACTTTATGTATATAAACTCTAAATTGGAAAATGCCTACCACAATGAAGCAACTGAGGCACCAAAGTTAAATGATGGGCCCAGTTAATGTGTCAATGTCAACCCCAGAAGAGTCTAGCTAATGAGCATTTCTTCTGTAACAATGTGCCTCTCACCAGTTCCCTTCAGCCATTTACAAGACTACGTATAACATGGGACATTCAAAATGCCATTATTCCGAATCTCAATAGCCACAATTTTAAAACACTTTCAGTGCTTCAGAAGAATTTCTGTTAGCATCTTCACATAGTAATCCATTAAGGAATAATTCTGGAGTCTGAAGACACACATATTTTAATTTCAAATTAATTTTCTGAGGGACAAAAGCAAACAAAAGAATAAGCTTATGAAATCTATGCAACAAGAATATTTGATGATCCTAATGTCTCAGAACTACTGATAAACTGATTGGTAGTTTTACTCTGTTTTCAAATCAAACCTATGTATATATAGATATGTTCCTTCAGTAAAAATTCATATATATACATGAATATTCAATATGCATCAGAACTGACTTGATGGCACCGAGTAACAACTTCACAACACACACATGTCAAATATATATATATATATGTGTGTGTGTGTGTATATATGTATATATATAGCATATTTCCTCTGAATATCTTATTCTACCACACATATGATAAGAAATTAATCTAGCCACACATGTTGTGACTAAGAGGCTAAGAAAACTCACGATAATCTTCAACATTTCAAGGCCCAACATTGAAGAGGTGTTAATAGAAAGTACCGTTTGTCGTGTTTTTTTTTAAGAGGACATTATTCCTCTGTAAGCTCCTCTCCTTTCACCAATGGACGATCTTTTCAAGCACTGACCATTTTTCAAACCAAAGTAAAACTTGCAAATGTCTTCACTTCACTTTTTAAATCTTCCTAGTTCATGTTGACGTAAAGGTGTCTTTCCTTAAGATCCTCTGACTTTCAAAGCATGTTCGTTCGAATGTACAATTATAAACAGTGAAATTTACCACAGTAGATTATCAAACTTCGTATTCAAGGGGGGGAAAAAGAAAACTACTTGATATCAAGCAAATTGTCTAAATCAAGGAGGTAACTTAATCAAACATGAGAACCTTCAGAAAATAAACTACACGTGTTGCTTTGTGTGTGTGTGTGTGTGTGTGTAATTACAATTTTCCAAAGTAATTTTAGACTCTTTCTCTCCCCTTCTTCTCCTTTCCTCTCGTCTGCTCCCCTATCCCCTCCTCTCTTCTTCTTTCTCATTTTCTCTCTTGATAGTATCATTTGAAGACTACAGCCCCAACGATTTCTTCTATCTACTCTCCACAATTAATTGCTAGACTTAGAGAAAAGTGTTCCGAGAAAAGTGTTTCCGTTCTCCCTTCATTCGAGTGACTCTAGTTTCAAAATGAGTTGGCGATGATCCAGACTATTACAATCAAGCTAAACCATCGCATATATTAGGGCTTAATATGGATAAGTGGGAGGGCAACCACTTTGTGTAATGTGAGAACACCGCGGTTGGGCATTTCCTGCGGTGATTGCCAGCTAGCTTCTTTGCACTGTAGCCAGGCGGTTGGGTGAGCCATCTTCGAACCCCCCTCCCAGAAGGATAACTATGAAATTCAAGCTGAGAACCTCGCAGCAGATAGAATCACCCAGCCAGGCGGCAGGAAAGGATGGCAGCTGCTGGCAAGAGGGCAGAAGGGGCAGCCCAAGAGCTGTGGCTGCACTACCCACGCCGGCGCAGCGGAGGGGGCCCTGGGCCAAGGCCCATCTTGCAAGCCTGGCCTTGTTACTTTTTCAGAAACCTGGATGGCGCTCCCTCCCGGATCCTAGAGCACTTGAAGCCCGGGGCGACCGGGCTAACATGGAGAACTGCAAAGATTAAAATGGCTGATCAGAGACTTGGGATTGTCAAACTCGGCTGGATCCCAGTGCATTTGGATCGGATCTTGTCCTTATTGCTGGGAATGCTGGGGGTCCTGCTCCCTGAGAACAAAGGGGGTCTGGCCCACCAGCCGGTCGCATCTTCCCCTTGGATTTGAGATGCAGATGCTCGGTGGACGAGCATGAAATTGACAGCGCACGCCCCCAGCCCTACCCCCACCCCCCAGCCGGGCCCGGACCTGCGTCAGCCTCCCGACTCGCTGTCGCTCTTGGGTGGGCGTTATGTAACAGCCCTATGCCAACTTCAGGGCCGTCTTAATAACTTGTCGCGTTGCGGGGGGAGAACTGCAGGAATAGCCCCTAACTGGGGCTGCAGCTGCCAGGGCGGGAGGCGGTGGGTCCCCGGGGGACCTGTCCAACAGCAAGGCAGCCAGCCCTGGGAAATAGCGTGTTCTGCCAGGCAGGGTGCCAATGGGCGCGCAGGGGGTGAGGGGAGGAGGTGGGCAGGGCTTCTCTGGAAGCATTAGCAATGACCAAGGAAGCCTCCCCCAGCTCCCACCCCTGTCCCGCGCCGCCTCTTCACCACCCCTGCCAAGCCAGCTGGGGTCCCAGAGACTGCAGCCCCCCGCTTCCTCTCCCCTTCTCCATCACATGCACGCGCGTGTGCAGTCACTGCCACCCATACACTGACACGCGCACGCACGCGCACGTCCACACCACCCCGCACTCCCCCTCGCAGGCTTTCCTCGTGCGGCACTGGAAAAGCATGAATATTCATTACTTACAAGCATTGGTGACTGCGAAGCTGTTTGCTACCTCCAAATTGTCGATGTGAGGTGTCAGCCGGAACTCCGAAGTGGAAAACTGAACCATCCCTACCCGAAATGCACTGTATTCCTGATCTGCGCCCCTTGGAAAGAGCCCCCCTGCAAAGAACAAACACCAAGCAAAAGAACAGTGTCAGGGACCAAGAGCGAGAGAAGTGCCCGATGCCTAGTCTCTCCTTCAATAAACCGAATAAACATCGAACACGGGCACAGGGTCCGTCGTTCACATGTTAGTCAAATGGATGAAGGTGGTGAGAATCTGAGGGGCCAGCTAGGTGGGCAGGGATATTGGTCTTTCCTTGTCATCAGAATCTTTGCATTCAGACCTCGCGAAAATAGTAAATCAGAACGGCTCAAATCTAGGAGTCAGACACGAGAAGACCTTTGCCTGTGTGCATGAAAGGCATAGGTTTTTCCCTTGGCTTCATCCTAAAAAACAAAATCAAAGCCCAAGGCATGCTTATTCTAGGCAGTTTAAATCTGGAATGCAGTCAAGGTATGACATAAGTCTACATGACATGAATTAATTTGTCCACTGTGAACAAAGATTATCACCAAATTATGCACAATTCAAAAATCATAGCACAAACTGTACCTACCTATCTGTATGCTGTTTGAAGAGACACCAAAAATCAGTCCCCAAAAAACAGGAGAAAGGAGGACAGAAATATGCATAATCTTTTGCATTTCCAAGAAAAGTAGAGCATCCACAAAATACCCCCTTTTTCTTTTTTTCTTCTCCTCCTCTTCCTTCTTTGGCTGTTTTCCTCAGCAAATTAGATCCTCTGCATTTTGAGGAAACAATTTAGCACCAAGCTGCTTATAAAAGCCTTGGGCAGAGGCAGAATAAGCCTTATTTCCCAGGTCCTGCTAGTGGCTGCGGCCGCTGGAGTCCGGAGGACTGGCTGGATGCAGTTGTCAGCCGCGTGGCTGCTGTGGTCCCAGTGACTCCGGATGTTCAGCACCTTCGCATGCACTCTCACACACTCACTCTCGATCGCGCTCTCCTCCTCTCCTCTCTCTCACACACACGCGCGCGCGCCTCCGTGCCCGCGCGCGCACACATACACACACACACAGGGACACACCACACACACACACACACACAGGAAGGCAAGTCATAGAGAGGGACGGGCAGTTCTCGGTGCGCGTGCGCGACTCCAGGAAGGCGGCGAGAGCGAGCACTCAACCCTCCCCGGGCCGGTGTCCGCCTCTCCGCACCCCTCCAGCGGCGGGGAGCGCGAGCCTCAGGACCAGTCGGAAGCTGCCTGCGAAGGAGATCCTTGGGCTCCGAAGCTGCAGCTCTCGGGAGCCCCTAAGGAGCCCTTGAGTCTTTCAGCACCGAGGACAGCGCCTGGCTCCTACCATGGCGAAACCTTTGTATGGCTGGCTGCCTCTGCTGGATGGAGAAGCTCTGACCCTGAACCAAATGCAGCAAAGCTGATTGCAGGTTTCTGTGCAAGAGAAGCCGAATTGCTGCTAATTGTTCTGCGTCGAGTGTTCGCACCTAAGGCTCTACTGTACTAAGTTACAAGTCACTCTGATTTTCCTCACCTAGAGGCACGCCACATCCACGCCCTCTGACTCAGTCAAAAGGCAAACCAACTAACAAAACATCAATTGAAGAAGTATTACAGAATTGTGAATTTTAGCTCCATAGGATATAGCCATGATCGGGGGGGAAATGTAACACTCTATTTTTAGAGGTTACAGCTAGATAGGAGGCAATGGTTGACTCTTGGAAATACTTTGCACAGATTCGCATCTTTAGAGTGAATCCCATGAAGACTGTCATGCGGACTTGCAGAGGCAGGATTCCTGCCAGCCTCTCTCACAGCCTGCAAGGCAGACTCCTTTCCTTGTAGTGACATGTAAATCTGTCTCCCGAGAAACCCTTTCTTTGTATGGATTGAAAGCCTGAGACGGTTTCCGAAAGGCTAGCTGAAGGAGTAGATTAGAAGGAACGGGTCTAGAAAGGCCACAGACCTGCATGATCTTTCCCAGAGGATTAGTTAGAAACCCGCTACCCACATCCCATTTGGCTTGTAAATTTTGAAAAATGACTGCCCACAAAATGCAAGCTACTCAATATGCCCAAAATAGCAGCTTGAGATCACAGGGAAATCAAGATGAAATTAGGTATGAAAACTTGGTGGGAAGGGATGTAGATTGAAGATTGGATTTCCCCACCAGTTTTCAAGCTCATACCTGGGAACATGTTCTGACAATTCCCCCCAATTGTCTCAGAAATTCCTCACCATGTTTTATGGCTTTTGTGGCTTAAACAAATAAAGAAAAGCAGACTGAGTACAAGTGGCTCATTCGAAGAGGCAAGAGATTGAAGTCCACAGCAACAAAGGTTTGCTCATTTTCCAGAATGCCTACCATATTGCCTTCTTGTGCAATTGTCTCATGAATATCATGCTTCTCAATACTTACATCATCTCTACTTGTCCCCAAACCACGTTAGGCCTCAAATTCTACATTCCCAAAACGAGCAGGATATGAATGGTGTCTTCTCTGACTCTCAAATCCTCTAATTATGTGATTTCCAGTGATAGTATCTCATTTTTGTTTGTAAATATAGATTCCTAAATTTAGACAGTGAGAATCACTGTAATCTGTATTCACATACCACAGATAAAGCACTGTCTCCTAATGCTATCACTAAGAGTTTGGAGAGCAAATATTTTGAGAATGATGAGGGCAACAAATGTGCAAATGTGCTTTACACAATTGAGGTATGTATGTATTGATTGTGATAAGAGTTGTATGAGCCCCCAATAAAAAGATTTTT